CACACACACACACACACACACACACTCACACACAATCTCTTTCTGTTGTCCTTCCTTTTTCTTTTCTATCCCGCATTATGTGGCGTATGGAGAAGAATTAGTAACCGCATTCGTCAAAATCGTCTTAACTCTCCCGAAATCGTCTTAACTCTCCCGTTGTTGCCAAAGGGTTTATACTTATTAAACCACCAGTACTTGGCCCAGCTATTGGCCACAGAAAACATATAAAGTAGAAACGTTTCTAGTCGGATGAATTTGGGCGCTCCTGTAGTGGCCTGCACATTTCCTAAAATTGTGGCTTGTTAACGGGCACGACTTTAGGAAGTACTGGTGGTTTAAAGAGCTTACCACCAGTCCGTTCACAACCACCACCACCTGTCTGCCCCTACCTCCCATGCTCTGATCGCCCCAAGACAAGATCCATGATCCTGGAGGTGTCTCCAGAATCGCGTGTAGGGCTCCTCGCATGTGCCATGGTACCGTTGACCAATTCTTAACTGCTTTCCGTTTTCCGTGCCCTTTCCAATTGTCCTCCCCTCACCTGCAAAGTCGTCTGCTCAACTCCACGTCTGACTCAATTGACTGAGGGTATCCAGCAAAAACGGATGGTGTAACGCAAAACTTCAGCTGCAACCAGCTACTCCCCTACCACAGAAAGCTCTGTCCACCATCTAGGAAGTGTGTTTAAGCGCAATGCACCTGCATAGGCAGCGGCACAAAACATACATCAGGGCTTCTTAACTCACAAAAACCGAAACTACTTTTTGTTTTTAATTGAAAAATTCAAAGTAGTCTTGCCAGGCAGCCTGCTAAAAGCATTTACCAGGGAGACCCGGTTTCAGGTCTGCCTCCTGAAAGCATTCACCATATACTCTGGACAACCATTCAACAAAGTTGAAAATAAACATAGGAAGGAAACAAAAAGTTCCACCTTCATTACAGACTGGGAATCGAGCCCAGCGTCCCTCACATGGATAGCCACGGCCTGCGGCCCTGCGGGGATGAGCCGGGCTCACCGGCCAGGCTTAACCCCACTGTAGCAAAAACTCAGGAAAAAAAAAGAAAGAAGTTCCACCTTCATCTGCAACTCTTAACAATATTTTTTGCAACAAACTTGAAATCACACCTATGGGACGCTAGACCCGTTTTCCAGCATGACGTCTCTCAGATGCTGTGTACTCAAAGAATTCACTCATGGAGTCATGGTTATGTATATGGGACGCTGGACCCGGTTTCAAGCAGGTGACGCCCACCACCAATAGAAGGGCCCTCCCCCACAACGGTAGTGGTGTCTGCCTCCCACCAGCACCACTAATGCAAAGCGGGGCTCACGAAAATGGGTTATAATTGCACTATGGGCCAAGATACAGTTTCGAATTGCAGTTCGGGCAATGTATACAACCCAGCTTTCTGACCAGGTAGGGTGCCCAAAGTGCAATTGCAAACTGTATCTTGCCCCAATGCCCCATAGTGCAATTATAGAGAGAACGGCTCTTGGAGAGCTGTAGGATCGTTGCCATGCACTCCCTTTCTCACAGCATCATTTCTTTCCCACCAGAGAAACCACAACAAAACAGCTGTTATCCCTTCCACAACATACGCGCACTAGTCAGCTGCTCTTCTTTTTTTAGCCGCACTGGCCACCACCAGAAAACCAAAGCAGCACAAAATCAAATTGAAATATAGGAACTGCAACACCAGAAGAGAGAGGGTCCTGCGCCTCTTACCGATGTACCATGTAGTATGGGTAGTGGACGAGTAAACCCCCACACTTAAAAGGGGTAATAAGAGCATCCCCTTGTATGAATGCTCATGCTTCTCTCGACTGGTGTGGATTTGTATGATGGTTGGTCATCCTTTCATTTCTCTGGTGATTGGTCAATCGCCCATGTGACAGTTCAATGTTGATGCAGTCGTGACGTCCCGGCTCTGTCAATCAGTTTTTGATCCTTTTTTTTCTTTTTTTTGAAGCAATCCAACCCGAGCTGATGCTAGGGGTGCTGATAGGAGCAGGCATCGCTAGCACTCCTGGGGAGGCTCCATCTATAGGTGGGGAGCAGCACCTGCTGGAAAGCAGGTCCAGCGTCCATGAACTTTTTTTTTTTTTTTTTTTTTGAAAAGACACCCCCACCAGTGCTAGTGATGCTGATAAGAGCAGACACCACTAGCACCTGGGGAGAGGCTCCATCTCTTGGTGGGGAGCATCACCTGCTGGAAAACGGGTCCAGCGTCCCATATACAGATTGAAATTAGAGTACATTCGAAGAACAATGTAGGAGGTTAGTCCAGGGGATTGACTGAGCAGGACAAAGAAAGGGAGAGGGGAACCGCTTCGCCCTGAACCCGGCGCCAGATACCTGCTGCTACACACTAGTTCCTCCCTCCCCCTAACTTTGACTCTTATCTTTTTTCCAAAAAAACAGCCCGAGGAGACCCGCCCCTGCACGTCATCTCATAGACCCTAGCAATCTAGCTGCTCTTATAAAGCCGCTCCTCACCCTCCTTCATACCATGCCTTGCCTACCAGACTATTTGCTGGGGGGGGGAAGAAGTCGGGGAAATGATCACTGGGCTGCAATGGGATTGAGTCTTCTATCTTGGTCCAATCATTAAAGAGGAGTCTATAGTCTCTGGTTATCTGCTCGTTGTCCTGCCCCTCCTCCTGCCCCTCTTTTCCTCCTTTCCATTCCACTTTCCCCACCTTCCCCCCCATTTCCCCCCCGAGCCATTCTTTTTATATTTTTGTTTCATTTCGTTCTGAGTGTGGTTATGTTTGATTTGCATTTTAACCTCCTCCCATCTTGCTGTTATGTTTGTCTGGATCTGTTGCTGTATGCTCTCCATAAATTCTGGTCCTTCCAACCTCACGCCTTCCATCTCATAGGTGCAGCCTCGTCTCCATAGTGCCCACAATACTGCCCTACGTCCTTGTTTGAATATGTTAAGGGTGAAGTCGTCAGACTGTTCCGAGGGCCATATTACAAACATCAGGACCTTCCAGTTCCATGGCCAGGGTGTCCCTGTGCCCAGCTGATCCCAGATTCTATCCCACCATCGCCAGAGCCAGACGGCGCCTGGGCATTGGAGGAAAATATGTTCGATTGTCTCTGGTCTCTTTCTGGATGGGAATGCATCTGAACATAGTCTACACCAAGGTAGGGCGAGTCCTTTCTGTTCAAGATTAGTCCTGTCTATAAGCCAATGGTTGGTTGGTAAGCACCTGTGCTCCACTTGCCATTGTGGCCCGACAACCATTATTTGGGAATAGAAGGATAACTAACACAAGAGGTCAGGTCCTGCACTGTGCGAACTCCCCATGGAAAGGATGGGTGAAAAAGGGGATCCTTAGAATTGGAGACATCTGGGACGTGGACAGCAGAGACTGGATCACAAGAGACCAACTCAAGGCAAAGCTGAGATATTTGTCACAGACCGGAAGAGGCGCTGGAAAACCTGATAGTATGTATCCCCCTGAACGGGTGGAAAATTTTGAGAAAGGGGCCCTTAATACGAGAGTCGGAATGGGTATTAATTCAGGGCCGCCAGGGAGTAGTGGGTAATGTAGTGCGCAGAGATTCAACAGGATCGGTGGCAGTAGACATTTTTACAATTTGTAGTGATAACTCACTCCAAAGGGTCAATCCTGAACATATACAATTAGTCGAAGAGAATGAACTCACAAAAATTAGAGTGCTGAGGGAGGACGATAGATGGGTGGCGTTCTCCCCGGTTACGCCAATATCTCAACTGCCTTTAGACCCCGAGGAGTGGGTATGGACGAACACAATAGGCAGGGGCAGAACCAGCACTAAAACGTTGAACGGTATCACAGTTAAAGCCACATACAGAATGCTCCGGCCAAAAACCAACCTACGGGACCGGGTGGAAGCGAGATGGATGAATCATTTGAATATCAGCAAAGAAGCGCTAAGGAGCGTCAAATGGTTCCAATTAACCATGAACATTGTGATTGTTTGATTGAATAGACATGCAACTGTAATGGCAGCAAGTTGCAGGGGTCACCTACAAAGAAGGACATTTGAGAGGTAAAGCTACACAGCAGCCTCAATTGATTACCTACATGCCAGCCTCAGGTGAGTGCTAGTATACACGAGTCCCCTGGCTGCTGCTAATAGAGTTGGACTAAGATTCTTACGTGTGATCTGTTTCTCCCC